CAAGTTGCATCCATTTCCCTATGAATGTCTGAGGTTCGTCCTTCTTTATATCTGAGTAGTACTCCTTTGTATAAAAATTCCACATCTTTTTTATCCACTCTTTGGTTAATGGCCATTTGGGTTGTTTCCAAGATTAAGCCATTAAAAATTGTGCTGCTATAAACATGGATGCACATATATTGCTGTGACACTATGTTTTTTATTTTCCAGGAAAATATCCAGAAGGGGAATAGCTGGGTCAAATGGAACCTCTAAGCCTAGTTTTTTGAGGAATCTCCACACTGATTTCCACAGTGGTTGTACCAGTGTACACTCCTACAATGTGGAGAAGGGTTCCCTACAGCCCCTCCTGCATTTGTTATTGATTGATTTTTTGATGCTAGCCATTCTTACTGGGATGAGATGAAATCTCAAGTGTTGTTTTAATTTGTGTCTCTCAAGTGACAATGCTGTTTGAACATTTTTTCATATATTTATTTGTTACTTGCATTTCTTCCTCTGAGAAATGTGTGTTTATCCCCTTTGCCCATTGTTACTTTGGATCTTTGAATTTGGAGGGGTCTGATTTTTTTTTCAGTTCTTTTTATGTTCTAGATATAAGTCCTTTGTGTGAGTGACAGTTGGTTAAAATTTTTTTCCCTCTCTGGATTGTCTTTTCACTCTGTTGGTGATTTCTTTTGATGTGCAAAAAGCTTTTTAAGAAGAGATTCCAGTTGTTGAAGTACTCCCTGTACAATTTGGTATTTGTTCATAAACTCTCTGCCTATACCTATATCTTCAAGATTTCTACCTACTTTCTCTCCCAGTAGATTCAGGGTTTCTGTTTTAATATTTAGATCTTTGATTCATTTTGACTTTAGTGTCATGCATGGTGATAGACGTGAGTCTAGTTTAAGTTTCTGGCATGTAGAGAGCCAGTTTTTCCAGCATCACTTATTAAAGAGGCTGTCTTTCTTCCAGTGAGCATGTTTGTCCTTTTGTCAAAGACAGGGTAGCTGAATGTGTTTGTAGTTGTGTCTGCATCTTCTGCTCTCTGTTCCACTGATCCTCAGGTCTGTCTTTGCTTTTTTTTTTTTTTTTTTTTTTTTTTGAAGTAGGTGGTTCTGCAAGATTAAAAAAGAAAAGCTGGACTAGATTATTATTTGAATCAAGATATTGTAAAAGCATTGTGACAACTGCAGGTATCAGACTGTGGACTGGGTTTAAGGAAAACGAAAATTTGCTGGTATGGAAAGATATGAATCATTTCATGAATAAATCAGGACATCTACAATGTAATTTTGGTAAATCACACCTATGCTTGTAATACAAGATCTGAAAAGACACACAATGAACTTTTAAGAGTGGTAAGATCTTATGATATTTTTATTTTCTTATTCTTACATTATATTTTCTTACTTTTATAATGCATTTATCTTTCTCTGGAATATAAAAGGGTTACTTTTTTGTTTCAAAGATTAAAATGAAGATAAACTTAAGATAAAATTAAGAAAGAATAACTTTATTCTATTCTGTTCTCTGTTCTAAACACCACACAAGAATGACATAACTTTCTCTGTCAGTTTTCCAGATCTGTTACAGAAAGCATTACAAACCGAGTAGGTTAAACCAGAGGAAGGTGCTGTCTTGGCAGTTCTGGAGGTGAGGCACCCTAGGTAGGGTATCCATGTGCTCTCTCTGAGGGATGTGAGGGAGAGTTCCCAATGTATGCCTCTCTCCTAGATTCTGGTGGTTTGCTGGTCTCCTCTTTATCTCTGCCTTTATTGTTATGCAATGTTCTTCCTCTGTGCACATCTGTGTCCAAATTCATGTCCAATTCACAAGGATATTCATGACATTGGAATAGGGGCTTACCTTTGGTGTAACTTAGGCCTTTGTTTCTTTTCTTTCATTGCTGAGACAAAATACCTGACACCCAAAGTTAAAGAAAGAAAGCTCACAATTTGCACAGGTTTCAGTCCATAATCAGCAGGCTCTAAGACCTGGTGGCACAAGGCAGAGGGGCAACTTTTCAGGCTAGTGGAAGACAACAAAAGCAACAAGGGAAGGAGACAAGATTCTTTCCATCTCTTACTCTATGCAGATTGCCTGCCCTAGGGCAGGCGTAACACTCACACTCTTAATCCTAGTCAGAGCCATGCCAAACCAGTCAGTGGATTGATTCTGTAATCATACTCCCTTAATCCCAGCATCCCACACTCTAGATTCAGCCACCTCTGAAACAGTCTTATTGATTTGCATGAGGCTTTGGAAGGACCTCTAGACACATACCACGACAATTTAATTAATTAAATATGAAACAACTTCTTTTGCAAATAAGATCACTACAGATCCACCTTTATACATCTGTATATTTTATTTGGATGTGAATTCAAATACAGACTCAATCCATTTTTGTCTGTAAAAATTGTACCACTTCTGATGAAATTGAGAGAAATTTTTAAAACATGTACACACATTTATTACTGGGTACAATATTAACTTATAGAGAATTAGTGTTGGTCTCATAAAAATTTTGCTAATTATATAATAATGAGAAATAAGAATTTGGTAACAAAATACATATTTTCTTTCTAGATTTGGCAAACATCACCATGGTGTGTTAATATTTAGCTCTGGTGGTCTGGCTAATGTTTAAATATGGCTCCCTCTACTGGAAATTGTGATTTATTTTTTCCTTTCCTCTTAAGGTGATCCAAAAAGCATATACAGTGTAAGGTAGATGTTCACAGCTCAGAATTTTTCATTCTCCATTCATATAGGGTCAGTGCTTCATTGGCCAACTTGTGTTTTGTAATGGGGAAAACCTGTGAATCTCATTATTTATAAATCAGCCACCACCTTGTTCTTCTACAGAGCTAACATTTAATGCAGTCAGTCAGTAGTATAAACAACATAATCTTTCTCTCTCTGGGACATGGCTGTTGATCTGAATTTATCCTTTCAAAACTGGAAGGAAGATACTTCCTTCAGAGATACTTCAGCTTGACTCTTCATTTTCCTAGTGAGAAAGCCAAGGTGTAGAGAGGAATAATTTCCTAAAGCATGTGACAATGGGACTTTCAATGCAAATATATTATGAATTACATATGATGCACCTCTAACATTTTACAGTGGATCAACTCAAATTATTAGCTGTGTTTTAATGGTCTACTGTGTCAGATACTAACATATCTTTGCATCCTCAGAGTATGTCATTAATTAAATTGTATGAATGATGATCTTAGATTAGATCTACAACTCCATAGGGCCAGTTAAATGCTATTTTTCATTTTAATAATTACTATTTCTTGACTGCTGTTTGATGATTTCTTTGCCTCACCACACAATCTTGGTTAGGTATTGGCTCCTATAGGACTTTTGGGGTTTGACTGTCTGACTAAACTGGAAATTTATTACTTTAGATGGGAGTATTGGAGTCTAATGCATGTTGAGTCAGGGTTTCAAAATTTTGTTTTTGTTGTTAATGTGTTGAATTGTCCTGGTGAATGACCCAAAAGTTGCTTTGAATCAAAATATCAGAATCTCCATCAATTTATTTGTTCCCTGGAAAACATGTCTGAGCATCCAGTGTTATTTATTGATATAGTTGCCTCAAGCTTAAGTCCATCTAAGAAGCTCATGAAATCCTTTCATAATTAGTGTATTACTTTTATCTGGCCACGGTAATAACACAGTTCTTACATACTGGTATGTATGTATACATAGATACTCACCAAGCATTTAGTAAGCAGAAAGAGGGTGGGGCTCTGGACCCATTCTGACTCTCGAATACTTTACAGATCACTTATTCCACTGCCCAACGAAACAGTATGAAGTTAGTATTCCTATGGAGGTCCAACACTGTCTTGATTGTCAGTGCTTCAAACTCAGCTGTACCCTTTGCCAGCTAGATTACCACAGAGTAACTTAATCTCTTCATATTCCTCATGGAGTTGTGATGATCACTGATGAACACACATGAGGCCATTAGAACCATTCCTGGTACGGAGCAAGCATGCATATGTGTTCATAAACAATACCACTTGGTTTGTATGTGTGAGGAAAATGACATCGTGCCTATGAATTCTAAAGAAAGATCCAAAAGGTGATTTACAAAATGAGAGTTAATTAGGTAAACCCTAGTTCATTCTGGTTCTGGCCACAGATGTGAGGAGTTACTCTTCGGGGAGCGTGCCCTGTTCGTCAGTATAAGCTCTAAGTGAGAATTCTTAGTTCTAACCAAATGAGCTAAATGCCAATCCCCTGTTGTGCCTGCAGCTTCTGCTCAGAATATACAAAAGTATTATGAAAATGAATTTTCCGTAACACTTTCGTTTTAGGAAAGCCTTGTGTCAAAAGTCAAAGAAGATATAATTGAGCACATTACCTCTCTTTTCCTCCAGAAACAACTTTAGAAATCACAGATATTTCTATTTCAGACTCATTGGTGATTTTTAGGTTTTAGCATCAAAAGAAGATGCAATCGCAACAAAAGGATTCCGTGCTCTTAATATCCATGATGTAGCAGCAGGCGCTCTGCTCAGCACTCCTCTGTAAACTTTAAACAATATGAAATATCTTTCAGAATGAGACTCATTCTGGGGCTCAGCACTACATCATTTTCATCAAGGTGGATGTAAATGTAATTATTGCAAATGACTGGAGTTTCTCTAAGCATTTAGCTTTTAAAACTCAGATAAAACTTAATCAACTGTTTCCCGTTTTATACCATTGATGTCTCTTATTTTGCACAGACCAGAAATCAAGCTGAGCTTGAATTAAAATCCAATTTCCAGGCTGCTTCTGAAAGATAAAAAGACTAATTGGTTTGCAGCATCTTCAAAGCCCATCCAACAGGTTGAATTTTAGATGTTTAATCATTTGCAGTAGTGTATAGTGTCGATCCAATTACTGGCAAATCCAAACCTTCTCTGAGCTGTTTTATCTTAGTGCCTGTGATCTCACCAGAACAGATCAGCATTTCACCACCAGCATCTTGTCATTATAATTAGGGATCTTACACCAGGCAGAGAGCAACTCATTTCTTCCTTGAAAGTGCTTTTGAAACACTCCCAGTCCTGACTTTGTGAGCTGCTTTTGCATTTCTGTTTTGATTATAATCTCATTTTTTCTTTCTGTTGGACCTGTTTTAAGAGTAAAACAAGAGTAGGGTTTCTTAAGACATCTCACTCAAACAGAACTTCCCAGCAATGAGATAAGACCATCAGGAAATGGTAAGCTCTTTTGGTGTTTATTCCCTCATCTTGAATAGAAAGAATAAGTATGAAGATGTTTCAGTTACCATGGATACCAAGGCTTTGAGATAATAGAATCCTTTTAACAATTCAGTTCAGTTAACTGGCTTTTCCCTTGAATGTATCTACCCAGCATGCTTCTTAATACAAAGAGTTGTAGCTTATATTAAGAAATATTATGTTAATTTTTTCTCCAATTATGTCCTGAAGCTTTTATTTTTTTCCTAAATCTCCTTCTTCCTACAGCAGAGAAGATGACATAGGGAAGTAAACGCTTATCTCTGGCTTTCCTTTGAAGAGGGAAACTGACTTAGTTCCACACAGCTATACAAAAAGTGCCGCAACATAATTGACCCACTTGTGATCTTTAGATCTATTTGACTCAATCTTCAAAAACCAAGTTAATTATAAAAAGTATATAATCATCTCCTCAGCATTCCTTTGCTTAATTGTATCAGATTTCCTTAAAATAGAATCTCTATAAGATGTACCATTTTGAAGACAGCATTAAATTAATTGTTGTATAAGAAAGGCTTCAAAAGAAATTCAAAAAGTGACAACTCATAGTACAAGGGTGTAAGAAAGTCTGTTCCTTTGTGTGAAAGCAGACTTTTAGCTAAGAACATACATTTTTAAAAGTTGAACTTGCTAGTTAAATTATCATTCATCTATTTTTTCAGGGGATAATTTTAGTGGACTTATAAGAACTTAATTTTTTTTTTTATTATTCCTGCTATGGACTCACATCACTAATTCTAACTGGTACTTACTTTTAGAGTGAGGTTGAATTTATTATATAATCTGAAAATCTGGGAAACAAACAGCTTCTCTGGACCGTCTTGCTGGAGGCTGCCAAGGCGGGTGAAGGGGGTAGCTTATGAGCTGTGAGCTCCCCACCCTGCATCCATTGTGTGGCCTCAGAGGAGCCATTTAACCTCTCTAGTCTGAGCTTCACCATCTGAAAATCAAAGGTTATGTTCTAAAGCCCCTTGACATCCCCAAATATCTACATTGCTTTGAAATTTATTTACATCTCCAGCTGACACCCTGCCTCAAAGTTAGGAATTATTTTGAATAGGCTTACTGAGTTCAAAACCTAGTAGAAAGAAAGCTCTAGAATTAAAAGCCTGCCAGCAGCTTTATTGCCACCCTGCACTGCCTTCAAAATAATTTTAAATGTTCAGTGGAAAACAGGAATTAGGGCACATTCAGGTCAATCATTTCAAAACCTTTATTGCTGGTGATACTTTTGCCACATGTTAAAGTACATTTGTAAAAGTAATCCTGGCTAACACATTTATCATTCCTTTAGCATGTGCCAGACATATCGTTAAGTCTGGTGTGTGGTTCACCTCACCAACCCTCTCAGCAGACTATGAGACAAGTATTATCCTGTCCATTTTACTGGACGTGATAAGAAATAAAAAGGTGAGTCTTTTGTCCCAAGTGGCTCAATCAGTAAGGGACAGAGCCAGGACTCGAATTCATGATGCTCACACTATATGTCCAGAGCCTGGAAACACCATAAATCACAGGCCATTAGCCTGTGTGTGTGTGTGTGTGTGTGTGTGTGTGTGTGTGTGTTCTACATGTCTAAACACAATCCTCTTCATGCTTAATCTCTCCACCACCATTGCTCAGGGCAGAAAACTGGAAACCATGTTTAACACTTCCTTTTCTCTTGCTTTACCTCCTATTCATGCCACGTCTCACTGTGCCCTGTCAACTTGACATAATAAATAGTTCTCAAAGTGGAGGCATCAGTCAGAGTCCTGGAGCAAACCTGACCCATATTTATCAAGATATGGGAAAACTCAAGATAATCTGAAAGAAATGGTGAGGCATTAGGAGACTAGTAATAGTAGATGCTGTTATCTGTTATGGGTTGAACTGTGTCTCTCCAAAAGATATGCTGCGGTTCTAACCCTATAGACTTTGCAAGGTGACTTCATGCAGAGATGGGTTCTTTACTGAAGTAATCAAGTTAAACTATGATCATTAGGGTAGCCACACTCACAGACAGGGAGAAGACCATGTAACACAAAGACAGAGTTAGGGTTGGTGCTTCTATATGCCTAGAAACTCCGAAGATTGCCAGCTCACCTCCTGAAGCCAGGAGAAAGCATAGAACAAGTTCTCCTCACAGTCTTTAGGAGGAACCAACCTAATTGACACCTTGATCTCAGACTTCTATCCCCCAGAACTGTAACATAATACAATTCTGTTGTTTAAGGCACTCAGCTTGTGGTCCTTTATTACAGCAGATCTTGCAAATGAATATAGCATCCTTTGGTTTGGTTAGCATCCATGGGAAGAGGACAGTATTCCAGGGACCAGGTGACACTTGTGTCTGTGGAAGAGGAGCTACTTCACAGAAACAATGGTCACAGGAACTGGCCATAAGGAAGTATATTTCCTTCTGAACTTAATGTTTATCAACTACTTTTTTAGTTTCAATGATGGAGTTTACACGGGAAAGATAAAATAAATGCTTGAATCTTTACTAGTTTTCAGAATAATGACTTGTTTTCCTAACAAGTTAAAAATTCTTTTCTTTGCCTACATGAACATACAGATTAACATATTTGATATATTGCAGTCCATCATAGACTATTTTAGTCAGCTTTCTATTGCTATAGCAAATACCTCAGGTGATCAGCATAGAAAGAGGAGAAGGTTCTTTTGGCTCACAATTCTGGAAGTTTCAGTCCTTGGATGACTGGCCTGTTGCTTTTGGAAGTGTCGCAAGGCACACAGTTCATTGTGACAGGAACTCATGTTAGAGGAAGCTGCTTACCTCATGGTGGCTGGGAAGCAGGAGAAGAACGTTAGGGGGCTGGGTCCCACTGTCCCTTCAAGGGTACATTCCCAGTAATCTAACTTTCTCCCTCTGTGTCCTGCATCTTAAAGTTTCCATTAACTTTCTTATCACCATGGGCTGCGGACTAAGCTTTTATTGTGTGGTTCTTTGGGGGATACCTAGCTAAATCATAGCACAAATGTTATCACTTACCTAAAATATTTCAGTCTTGATCCAAAGGAGCCCCTCAGATTAGCTGCTTTTGTAATTTTTATAAACTCCTAAAGACCTCCGACTGCCTCCTCACTCTCTGCTAATGATGGTTGACAATCTGAGAAGTCTAGAAACTTAACTAAGAACACAGCACTTCTAGGGTGTGGAGTGTGAAGGAAATGTCCTTACCACGCTAGGATGTTTTTCATGGTGTCAACTTGAGAAGTTTAGAAGTTTAAGGGACTCAGCAGGGGTCAGGGTCCTCACTTTGTAAACATCCTCAGCCTGTGCAAGAGGAGGGCGGGATGCTGTGAGGGCTACACCTACCTGAGGGAGATAGCCTGCTTACAATGTATGCGAGGAAAAGAGGTCCCCTACTGACCCTTGTGCTCTTGTTGCTTTTGCTGTCTTCTGCCTCCTTGAACTGTTGCCCCTCCGCCATGGCACCCTGTCTTGGAGCCAGCTGATTATGGACTGAAATCTCCACAAATTGTGAGCTAAATAAACATCTCCTTCCTGACTTCTGATGGTGCTTCATCTTCATTTCTTTGGCAAAGGCAATTGTCTCTCTGAGTGTTGTTTGGTGTGAAGACACTGGTGGAGCTGAGGTCTATGTGACTTTCCACCTGATTTGAAAACTACACAACCTGGTACTCCCACATAGGGCCTGATTTATTGTGATTGTTTTCTCTTGCTGAGACCAGTGGGTAAGATCAGGAAAATTGAAGTTTCTTTGAATACTGTAGGTATGACAAATTTTACTAAGAAGATGCCATGGACTGAATTGTTTCCCTCCCTCCTCACATTGAAGTCCTAATGTCCAAGTGCTAGTAGTACAGAGATAAATCCTCGGGAGGTGATTAGGTTGAAGTCAGAAGGGTCCTTCATGATGGCATTAATGTCATTAAAAAAAAGACACCAGAGAGCGTTTCCTTTCTCTCTCTTTTCACCTACATACACCAAGGAAAAGCCATCTCATGATCCGATAAGATGACAGCTTTTTCCCAGGAAGTGAATTGGTCGCTACCTGGATTTTAAGTGTGTTTTATTTGGAAGGATGTTTAAAGATGTAGTATGAAAAGGGAAGACAGAAATAGAAGATGTTGAAGGGGGTATATTTTTTGTGATAACAAAATGATGGGAGCTTCATATATTTAAATAAACTAAGTATTCTGCAGAGAAACAGATGGAGAAGAAAACAGTGTTGAATTTGTGAATTGGAGGAGTCCATGGAGCCTTTTCTTTTGGAGAAGAAATTTTTCCCTCTTTCCCACTGCCGCTTTGATATTCTAGTTTGTGTCACCAAATGTAACTCTAGAAGGTCAAGGGGAGAAAATGAATTAGGGAAGTCTTCTATTTTGGGATGCCTCAAAAGATGACCTTTTTATTGCAGTCAATTTTACAATAGCTTCTGCAACTTCAAATCAGAACTCTTTCTATGTGGTTTTTGAAAAGCTTTACATAGATTTACCAAATAAGAGACAGATCCAGGCCTCTAAGAATTCACTATGAAATGATGAGACCTAGAAACCAATTACCAGAAGTGTAACTTTACTATATGCAGCAGTTAAAGGACCCTAAAGTGAAAGAAGGCTAGAACATCATGGAGAGGCAAAGGAGAGAATCAGAGTTAAGTAGAGGACACAATATTCAGGGCCTTTGTAAACATCAAGAGAAAGTTTGGTTTTTTGTTGTACATGCAATGAACCACCATGGGAGGGTTTTAAACAAGAGAGTAGTGTAATCTGATTTGTATTTTGAGTAGATCTTTCTGGCTGCCACTTGGAGGATGTGAAAAAAAATACCAATCAGGTTATTTCAACTGTCCAAATGAAGATTCAGGGTGCCCTAGGCTAGGATTCCAATAAGGAAAATGGAGAGAAGTGGTTGGACACAGAATGTCGTTTCAGGATAATGTCAAGACTTCCTAATGCATCAGATAGGGGGTAGGAGAGAAGGAGAAATT